CTGCCTCTCTCCCTGATGCTCTTTCCCTTTGAATGGCTCTTTCTGACCCTCTCGTCCCATCTCTCTCGCCTTTTGAATCACTTTTTTTCTCTGAATTTCTCTGTTTCTCATTTCCCTTTTGCCCCTTCTAGTTCCTTGATTTTGTGCTCCTGGTTCTGCGTCCCCTCTCCCTTTGTCTGCCTCGTCCCTGCCTCTCTCTGGCTCTGAGTCTCTGACTCCCATTCTCCTTTCCATCTGTTTGGTTCCATTTCTGTCCATCTCTCTCCACCTGTTTCCTTTCCTTCTCCTTCTCACTGTCTCCCCTTGTCCCTCTGTCACTGTTGTCTGTCCCCCTCTCTCCTTTCCTTCGAAGTGTCTGCTTGCCTCTCACAACCGAAAGCTGCTGCCTGCTCTTTTACAAAATCCGATACCCCGTTCCTCAGTGACCAATTTTCTTTCCTACGGTGAGAAAGTAGCTCAGGCCTTAACCCATTTCCTCTGGCGGATCCAAATTAATTAGGTGAGACCGGGATCACACATATCAGAATTAGAATAATATTTACCAAGCACCCTAGAGAGAAGGGGTTGGAGGACAGAGAGGACCAGGAGCAGGGAGGGAGGTCACCAGGGAGCCGGGGGGAGGGGAGGGTGAGGTCTGGGCTGGGGTAGCTGGCAGAGGGGATTGCGCCTAAGGGCGCCGCCTGGGAGTTAGGGTCGCCTGTCTGGTTACCAGAAGGCACTGGGAAAGGACGGACCTTGAAGAATAGTGTTCAAGAGTGAGGGAAGCCCCCGGGGCGAGTGCCCAGGGCCTGGCCCCGGCTACAGTGCTCCTTGCTGAGACCACACACCGTGGGGTCTCTGGCCCCAGAGAGCCTGTCTCTCCAGAAGCAGCTTTCTGGCACGTCTCTTCCCTTCGGCTGTGCTGCCCCGCTCAGCCCAGCCCTGCCCATTGGACATCTACAGAAGATTCTCTCCAGGAGGAGACAGCCCGAATAATAACCCAGTTCAGACTTGTTGCCAGCAGCCCCCAGTCCTAAGCACCCGCAGTGTCCACTGAGCCTGCCGGTCTTCAAAGGCGTCTTCCCGTCACGCTGCAGTACCCAGAGTCTCGTCCTGCCGGGCTTCTCAGGAGATGGGCACCAAGAGTCTCCCCACCCTAGAGGAGGCGAGCTTGTTTGAAAATCTCTCCTGTGTTGCATCGTCCTTGGTTGATGAGCCCCAGAGCGAATCCACTCTGCGGTCGCCATTTCACGTAATCCTGTGATGCTGTGACGCTGGACTGAATGCTCTGCCGAGGCTGGAACAGGGACACACTTCATCCCTTCCCTGTTTATACAGTACAGCCGACAGGGTGCCAACCCCGGGGATGCAGGGATGTCCCACACAGAGAAGCCCCCTCCTTCAGGATATCAGTGTACTTAGCCCTGCTGTGTCCTGAGCTCAGCACAGAGCCCGATCTAGGTACAGGCTGCTCGGTAAGACCTCCAGGAACTCGACTGCCTTGAGCCTTAATCAAAAGATCCAGAGACTCCCATCATCTAGTTCAGTGTAGATGTAAACCAGGGTTTCTCAATCTTGCCACTATTGACATTTGGGGCCAGATAATTTTTTGGTGTGGGTTGGCCTGAGTATTGTAGGATATTTATGGCCACCCTGGCTTCGACCTGCCAGATGTTGGTAGCACTTTCCTGCCCAGTTGTGACTGCCTAAGATGTCTCTGGACATTGCCCTATGTCTTCTGGGGGACAGAAGCACTGTGGGGAACCACTGGTAATAGATTCCATCTCAGCCTGTCGAAAGCCGTGGACTCATACACAAGACTCCATTCTCCTTCATAGGCACTAGAGAGGTAGGAGTCTTAATAGGAACTTGGGAGGCAGGAAAAAGAAAGAAAAATAACGTACTTTTTTTTCTCATAATAGGTTATTGAGATGTAATTCACCTACCACAAAATTGTGTACAATTCAGTGATTTTTGTACATTCACAGAGTTGCCCAACTATGACTGCTATCTAATTTTAGAACGTTTTCATCTCCCCAAAAGGAAATCCCAGACCCATTAGCCATCATTCTCCATTTTTCTCTCCTACTAACTACAAGTCTATTTTCTGTCTCTATGGATATGCCTAATCTGGACGTTTTATGTGGAGAGTCATACAACATGTGGTCTTCTGTGACTTGGCTTCTTTTACTTAGCATGATGTTTTCAAGGTTCATTCATTCATGTTGTAGCATGGATCACTACTTACTTGCCTTTTAAGGCTGAATAATAATCCACTGTGTGAACGTACCACATTTTGTTTATCTATCCATCAAGCTGATGGACACTTGACATGTTTCCACCTCTTGGCTATTATTAATAATGCTGCTATGAACCTTCATATATAAGTTTTGTGTGGACATATATTTTCATTTCTGTTAGGTGTATACATAGGAGTAGAATTGCTAGGTGATGCAACTCTATATTTAACATTTTGAGGAGCTACCCAAATGTTTACCAAAGGGACTGAACCATTTTACATTCCTACCAGCAGTGCACAAAGGCTCCAATTTCTCCACATCCTTGCCACCATTTGGTATTATCGGTCTTTTTGGTTATAGTTATCTTAATGTGTGCAAAGGGGAATCTCCTCATGATTTTGATTTGCATTTTCCTGATGATTAATGATTTGGGCTACTTTCTGGGCATACCTTTTTTGGAGAAAGGCCAATTTATATCCTTTAGACACTTTTAAATTGAGTTTATTTTTGATTGCTGACTTGTAAGAATTCTTTACATATTGTGGATACAAATCATATAAAAAATGTGATTTACAAATGTGTTTTCTTATACTGTGGGTTTCAGTTTCTTGATGGTATCCTCTGATGCAGAAAAGTTTTTAATTTTGATGAAGTTCAACTTTTCTTTTGTTTCTTGTGCCATTGTTGTCATATCTAAGACCCCATTGACATACCCAAGGTCACAAAGGTTTACTTCTATATTTTCTTCTAAGAGTTTATAGCTTTAACTCTAGTGTTTAGGTTGATGATCCATTTTTGACTTACCTTTTTATACAGAGTGTGAATTAAGGGTCCAACTTCATTCTTTTGCATGTGGATATCTAGTTGTTCCACCATCATTTGTTGAAGAAACTTGTTGTTCCACCATCATTTGTTGAATGGTCTTGGTATCCTTATCAAAAATTAATTGGCTCATAGACGGCATGTGTTTCTTTCTAGGATCTCAGTTCTATTCCGCTGGTCTTTATTTCTGTTATAGCGTTTAGCTCACTATTTTACCATGGGAACATGGTAGGGCAATGTTTCTGATAACCCGAGGGGTGAAGGGATCAAGCTAAGTTGCATAGATGTGTGGTTCAAAGTAGATTTAGAAGGGATCTTAGAAATCATGTTAGTTTTAACCCTTCATTTTGCTGGTAGGAAAAAAGGTTACATTTTTATTTTAGAGGTTAACAGATCTGCCCCAAGCTGCACGGCTCATAGTGGCAGAGCTGGGATGAGAACTCACATTTCTTGACCTTCTAGGGCATTGCTTCCTTCTTATTCCCAGGCCCTGAATCTCAGGTCTCTGGCCCAGACCCCAGGTCTGCCTGAACTTCCTTTACCAGATGAATGAGTTTTTGTGCCCTCACTCAAGACTGGGTCCACTGGGGTGAGTGGCAGTAGTGGCATGGGTCTGTTCCTTCCTTTACAGCCGGAGAGAAAAGGAAGCCTGTTCAGGGAAAGCATTTGGAAAATTAGAAATTGCTATATAAATGCCACTAAATGATAAGATTGTCAGCTTGATGCTCTTCTAGGAAGGTTCAGCATGTCAGGGGCGGCATAATGGAAGGAAACCATTCACTCTCAGACACATTTTTAAACTGCTGTGGTTGTCACTTGCCAAGGGGGCAGAGTGCCCGGAGCTAAAATCCCAGTGCAAATGAAGCCATGAGCTGGGCTGGGCTGGCTGGCAGGGGCCTGGAGGCATGGTGCCTTGCCCACATCTCAGGGACACCCTGAGCAGGTGGAAGAGTCCTCGCCTAGCTTGTGCAGAACAGGGATGTCCTCAGACCTGGGGACCTGGCCCTAGAATCACAGTATCCAGAGGGTGGTCCCCTGTGACTTGTGAGTGCCCCAGCTTCCCTACAGAGGGAGTCCTGTTTGTACCCAGGTGGGAGGTGGTTGTCCCTAAATTGTGAGCCCTTTGATGGTGGGAGCTGTGTCCTGTTTACCTCTGTTTCTGTAGTGACTAATAAATGCTGGGTCCACAACCAAACAATGCATGTTTGGTTGCTGAAGCTGCTCACTGGAGAAGCTGGGGCCCTTGCCGATAGGTCAGGCCTCTCCAGCAACCACAGCATCCCTGTGCATCTCTCTCTTCTTGTATGTTTCCCTCTCTGTGTTTGTAATTGCTCCCTCTTAGAAGCTCCAGCTAGTTCACTATCTCCACCATCTATGTGGTCAGATAGTTATCTTTTTATCTGTACATCCTGTCCTGTCCTGTTCCTGTTCTTTGCAGCTAAATCACACCTGTCTGATGGTGGGAGCTGGGCATTGTGCTCATTGAGTCATCAGTATAGAAGACATGATACTCAATGTGTGTTCTTCCATGGGGTGGTTGGTCCCCCTGATATTAGTAACCTGCTGTTGAAGTTGAGGCCAGCCCTCAAATACCAATGTCAGCCCCTCACTGTGGTTCCTTTTGGCTGGCTTGCTGCAGTAGATACCTACCTGGCACAGCAGGGTCTTTGGGGAGCCAGTATTTTGAAAGGGCTTGGAGTTTGTTGATGTGAAATGAATTAAAGAAAGGAACCATGATAACTGCCTTTTAGTGTGCACACCCCAGGTAAGGCAGCCTCTGCCCTGCGTGTCCACCAAGCCCAGTCCCAGGTGATGCTGTGACTATCCAGAACGAAGTGCTGTGTGTCTGTCCCTTCCTGTCACTCCATGTGTCAAGGGGCTGTGAAAGGAGGCCAGCTCTCTTTGTGGTTATGAACATCTGCTCAGTGAATCTCACTGTGTGATCTCCTCCTTGTTTAGGGCTCTGGCTGACATCTTAAGACAACAGGGACCAATCCCCATAGCACACTGTGAAAGAGAAACTATCTCGGCTATCGATACCTCTCCCAAAGAGAACACGCCAGTCAGATCGTCCTCCACAAACCACTACACCCCCATGCGCACAGCCAAGCAGACTCCAGGTAAGTGAGAGCCAACTGCATTGTCTTTGCTGAGGCTGGTGAGAGGTTTCAGTGATATTTCTGCCACAATGGGGCAGATTGTGAAGCACCTTGCTGTGAGCGACTCTGGTAGGCAGGCCAGCTTGTGAAAGAGACTGGGGACTGTCCCCCTGGGAGGGGTTGGCATGTAGAGACTGCCAACATGGAGTGTCCAGGCTGAAGGAGAGCTGATGATTTAGGATATATGTGACTCAGTGAGTGGCTGGCATATTCTCTTACCTGAAAGGGAGCTTGCCCATGTGTGAGATGATTCTGGCTGCCTAGCATGCTGGATATGTGACAAGAAATTGCTGCAGTCAGTTATAGGGACCACTCACCATCAGGATCTCAGAGAGCGCCTCTCGAGGGTAGAGATTATGTTTGTATCATGGAGTGGCCCTTTCCTGTGCTCTGTAGATTGCCTGGATATGTCATGAGTTGCCATGCAATGGCAGTATACCTTCTGCTCTTTTATTAGTCATCACTATAACCCTATGAAGGAAACTAAGCAGGATCATCTGGATCCATAAATGAAGCTCAGTGAAATTTAGTGGCTTAGACAAGGTCACTAAGATGGTAATAATAATAAAACATCTGTAATTACAGTAATATAACCTCACATTTATTGGGATCTTGCTCTTTGGCAAGTGTTACACTGAGCATTTTACATGTATTTTCTTACTCTTCACAGCAACCTTAAAAGTACTTATATGGGCCCCATTTATGAGGAACAGAAAGGGTCAGTAATTTTCCCAAGGATATAAGGTTGGTAAGAAAGAAAGCCAGGATTCAAACCAAGGCATATACATAACAACCGTCTGGACTAGAAAACCCTAATATCCTAATCCAGTTGGGGACATGAATGTGAATTATCTGAGTGGACTGTGTCCTTACAAGTGCAGCTGGGGAAGTCATTTCTCATTGTAAGCATTACCAGACAGCCTAATACTGACCCCAGTTTCTGTCACAGCTTAGATACTTGAATCTGAAATCCTCACATTCATCACCCTGTAGCTTTTCAAAGGATGGGCCAGATGGTCTAAACTAAACCTGCAATAAGGATAGCCAACCACTAGGTGGCAGTAGGTTCACTGAAAATTCAAAATACACCTGAGATCAAATGTGTTTTCCATTTCATTCTTGAATTTTATTGAATTTATTAAATCAGAATCACATACTTGTCTTTAAGGTAATAGAGTTAAATCTTTTGAGAATCTGATAAAAGGTCTTTTGAAGATATACCTATTTATAAATATACATATTCAGCCAACATTTTAGAAATAATATAAGGGGATTCATAGGCCCCTCCAAAGTTAGAAATACCTGCTATAAAACTAAAGATGGGAGATATGCCTTTGCAAAAAGTCTAAGATGCATTTTGAGCCTTAGTAGCACAGATGCTTAAAACGTAATCATATAGAAGGAATCTTGGCAAAAACATCTGGACCAGTGTTTGTCTACCTAGCTGCACATTTGAATCCTATAGGAGCTCTTAAAAATGCAGATGCCTGAGCTCCACAAATTCACCAGAAGTTCTAGGGATACTGCTGGTATCAGTATTGTACAAATCTCCCTAAGGTGATTCTAATATGCAGGCAGGATAAAAGAACCACTGGTCCAAATTAATTCCTTCATTTTATGACAGAGGACACTGAAAGGCTAGGCCAGTGGTTCTCAGACTTGGCTGCACATTGGAATCACATGGGGAGCTTTAAAAATGAAGGATACTTGGGTCTCCAGAGATTTTGATTAATTGATATGGGGGTGTAACCCGAGCATGAAGAGGGTGGGGATTGTTGAGAGATTCCCAGGTGATTCTAATAGAGAGCAAAGTTTGAGAGTCACCTGGCTACAGAAATTGTACAAAGGTGCCATTCTAACAAATCCTAATTTTCATTGGTTACTGTTTATCCTAACCTTGGCATTATGCCAGTTTTGAGCCGGGTATTTTTGTTTCCCTGAAGACTCATCCTTTGAAGTCAGGTTTCTCCAGGACCCTGTCTAGAGTCTGGAACTTGAAGTCACTTTGTTATGCAAAGCACCTGTGGGGAGTTCACCTTTGCCTCAGTCTGCTCTGATTTCCTCTAATTCACAAACCAGCCAATTCCCAGTCACTGCGTCCACACTGATTAAGTGGACAGTCTTGATTAGCCCTTAAATGTCTTTCACTGGGCAGGAAGATTTGTCATTTCTTCTGGTTTCTGTATACATCCTCTCCTCTGGTAATCTGAGAAGGAAAGCTTATGGTTATGTGATTCACTTCTGTGTTTGGAGAAGTCCCACCCTGTATTTCTCAAATTGGAACTCTTCACTTTGCTTTTAGAGATTGGAATTGTTTCCCTGGCTTCTAACGCCTTCTCAATGGTGACACTTAAATTTAAAAGCAATTTCATAACCCGCAACATCTACAGCTTATAATGGACACAACTGCTCTTCCAAATAGCTGCTATCCTTTGCCACAGAACATTGCAATTTGAGCAGAAGTTTAAATAGAACTTTTCATAAGTGTTCAAAGTGCATATTTACTCTGATTTGCCATGCATCAAGTCAACCACCTATCATGAGAGGATGGTGGCAAGACTTTTTCTAGGGAGATCTTAAGGAAGATATCCAGAAATATAGGAGGCATCAGAGCATATGAGTAATTTTGCTACTCAAAATGCTGTCCACGGACCAGCTGCATTAGCATCACCAGGGAGTTTGTGAGAGATGCAGAATCTCAGGCTCCATCTTAACCTGCTGAAGGAGAACTTGCCTTTTAATGAACACAGTTAGCAAGTAAAGTTTGAGAAGTGCTGTAAAAGCATGCGCTCTGAATCCCCCTGTTTTCTGGCCCTGTTTACTTGCTGTGTGTGCGACCATGGCAAGTTCTTTGCCTTTCTGAGTTTCCTCTGTGGCCTTGAGGCTAATAAGTAGTACTGCTGTCTGGAGCTGTTTTAAGGGTGTAATGACTTAAGCCAAGAGGTCACTTAAAACAGGTCCTGATGCATGGCAGATGCTCAGTATTAGCTATGACTGAGCTGTGGAAGTATATCCACAACCCACTGTAAACAAACAAACAAAAAATCATGGAAAAAGGCATTTGTGTTTTTAGACCGGGTGGGGTCCATAGGGTTGTGTCCAAGATGAAAGTCCCTGGGTCTGAGACTTCCTGTGCTGGTTTGTAGGGCTTTGTAGGGCTCTGTCAGGATTTTGGACACCAAAGGCACACACTTGTTTGGGTTAGAAAGTGAAGTGGTGGTCATACCCCAATACTAATAAGAACAAGGATACCATGAGCAGCGCAAGTGCCATTTATTGAGTACGTACTATGTGCTGGGAGCTCTGTTAGACACTTACTTATAAAAGAGAGTGGATCCTGTAACATTTCTTAGGCATAGGTAGTCCTGTTTCCACATTAGCAGAAAATTCCTCTTCTTTTCTCTAAGAGCCTGCCTTGCCAGTGGGTTTCAGTCCTGGACAAGTGCACTATGGATTCAGTGAGACCAAAGAAATGACAGTAGAACGTTCTTGTGATGAAAGGGTTATACCCAACTTTATCCCCACGGTGGCAGGTCAGTCACTAGAATCCTGTCCACTCAGAGTGAGTCTGCAGCAACAAGCTAGTCTCTGCCTCTGGGTTTCTTTACCCCTGCAGCTGTCTCAGTCTCTGTCCTTGGTGCTGCCATCACTCCAGCCTCTGCTCTGCTCTCCTGCAGCCTTGCAGCCGTGCCACCATGTCTCCCAGAGCACTGGGTGGAGCTTTTTATATAGAGTCAATAACAATGTATTGCCCACACGTGTGTAGTGAGCTAGCCGACCGGGGCCAGGTGAGAATCCTGGCCACAGGAACTTTATCCACAGAGTCTTTGATCCTAACTCTCCCAGAAAGCCCTCTCTAACTCTAAAGGGAGATTCATAGCAGACAGTTACTTTGAACATAGAAAAATCAGTGAAATACAGTTCCATCCCCCTCCCCTCAAATCAGGCCTCTGGTAGACCATCGCTGCTCAGCATGTGGTCCACGACCAGCAGCGACCAAGTCTCTTGGGAGCTTGTTAGAAATGCAGAATCTTGGGCCTCCCCAGACCTACTGAATCAGGATCTGTGTCTTACCAAGATTGTTAGGTGATTTGCACACACATGAAAGCTGAACAAGAGCCTTTGAGCACAGCCCTGGCCACATGCTGGAATCGTGCAGACGATTCTGAAAATTCTGATGCCTGGCCCTTACCACCAAGATTGGTGTTTAATTGGTCTTGGGTAGAAGCTGGGCATGGGCCTTCTTCAAAAACATCCTGCATGGTTCCATTGTTCAGCCAACTTTGAGAACCAGAGCTGAGAGGGAGACTGCCATCTGGAGAGCTGCGGAGCTTGGTTCACATCAGTACAAGATCGGGCCTGGCTGGCTGAGGTGGGTGGCCTGCAGGGACACGTCCTCTCCACGGCAGGTGGGGCAGAAGGGTATGAGGACAGTCTGCAGCTGTGAATGGGGACACCTGGGCAGCAGCAGGCACAAGCGGAAATAACAGCATTAATTAGAAGGCCAAGTAGAGCCAGCATCAGGAAATGTACCACATATGGGGTGTGGGTTCCGTGAACCCAGATCTCAGAGGCTTGGGGAGCTTGCTTGGTCTCTGGGGATGGGCAGAAATGGGGACCTGACGTGTTTGCCTGGCCTGCTTTACTCCTAAAGAGCCTGTCTTGGCAACTGGGGGAAAGTGGGAGCCTGTCTTTCACAGTAGCAATAATGTCATGTGTTGGGGTTCCAAAGCTTTGATATCCAACTACCCATTATCAAGAGTGACATCAGCTGGAGGAAATAAATATTTATGCTCCAGCTACACACCACTGTGAGTTGTATAAACCAGCAGTCCATCATCCTGCCTCTTGTCAAAGCTGTACGCTTTAATGGCAGACTAAGGGGGCCAAGGGGCGTGACTCTTTAGGCTTTGTGGAGACCAACAGTGAAGGCAGGACAGTGGGCAGGGGGCACTTTGTCA